TGTCCTCCCTCTGCTATCACAATAGTTTAGAAATGTGTTTTGTTTTTCAAGAGAAGTTGAACTGCATCCGAGCAAGACTGTTGCCAACGCGCATCTCGGCACTGGCATCAGTAGCAAAGCTGAGATCATGCTGTGGAAACAGTATGACAGATCGGTTTGTCTCATGCTTCAAATATGACACTTGCTTTTTTAGCCACTGTTTCATATTTTTCCCAATTTTCAGAAGTAAATCAGCAACTACCAGAGACTGTAAACTCTCAGGACTGCAAACCTGCCAGTTCGCATAATCCAGAGGCTTGGAAAGCTAGCTTGGCTGTTGCTGCAAACACTGAAGGCAGGACTGGGACCTGTTTGTGGTGCAGCTGGGATCTGGGATGGACAAACTCTTGCTGGGGCCCTCGGCAGCAGAACAGTAAACATCCCTCCAAGGTGCTCCCCATCAGGTTACACTGCTTTCTCTGGGAAACGTGCCGCTTGGGCCAGGCTTTAGTGCCACATGCTTGATAACATTTAATGTGTACTTACTGCACAACAACTACCTCCCTCCCAGCCAATGCCCCTGCAACATGCACTGCGCAGCAGCCAGGCACAGCAGCAGCCGGCCTGCTGTGTTACATAGGTCTAGAAGAGTCACACACAGGTAGGGATGCTATCACGCATGGCAGTTTTCTACACAGCCATGCTTTCCTCACATGCCCAATGTCCAATCTTTACATATTGTCTCAAGTAAGCATTAGAACGAAATCCAAAACATCTCTGGCAGTTGAAGACATCCAATGCCCGTTACACAGCTTGTCAAGCCCTTACAGAGCCTTCTCCAGCGCAGTACCTTACGTGCCTATGAATGGAAGGCTTTACCCACATCAGCAACTCTGGAAAGGTCTCAGCTTGCATTAATGCACACCCTAGAAGCAGCCCATTGTACTATGCCCCTAAAAATGAAATTTCAGTGGTGTATTTAGAAAAATTGTAAAAGGACTCAGTAGGATTTCACAACTTTCAGGTACGTATCCAAGGAAGTTACTCAAAGAAATATTTCATCATAAAACATCAATGTAGATATGATATTATTGTCTTTTCTGCCAGTTGTGCCAGCACACCCAAAGCTTACTTTCCCGTGGGGCAATACTGCCCTCTTTTGGTGCAATTTATTACGCACAATGCTTTTGATACAATTCCTCAGAAAGGTTAGAAAGCGTTTTTTAAGGTACACTATTTTTTTTTGTAGAAAACCAACCCACTGAGTTTTGAAAAAAACGCCACAAACTAAACCAAAGAAAGTCCTACAAATAACAGTTTTGTAGGATGTTGATCTAAAAAGGGTGCTACTGTTCACAGATTACTGAAGCCAACTTTACAGAATTTGTCAAACAGTACAAAAATACTGCATTGTATGTTTGCTCTTACTGATTACGGCACAAATATGCACTGTATCATTTAATAGAGACACAAACTGAAAGCCAGGACAAAAACTAATTTAATTTAGAAAGATTAAACCCAGGTATTTGGAGGGATTAAAATACTACTGAGCAAAACCTCCTTTCAAGCTAACATACAAAGATTATTGTTTGGACAGACCTGGGAACTGGGAGAAATTAAAATATTTTTAAACAGGAATCAAAACTTCTTGCTAAATCTTTTAAGATATAAACTGATCTGTTGCTGTTTATTTACCAGTCACTTCTGCCTATACAAGTTTCCCACCTCTCACTCCTCCCTTCATTTCTGCTCCTGACCCAACCCTAAAAAAATGCTGTTTGATCACTCAGTCAAGAGATATGAAAGCTTGTTTTCACCCTTGTGTAACCCTGTAATACGGAACTGACATTGCCAATAGCAGGCCATACACTTTATACCGTTTGCAAGGCCTCTGGACTTGCTACATCTGAGCTTTCCCCAACCTGCTTGTAGCTTCTACTCAGTTTAGCTCTGACAGCAATCTTTTCACTTGACCTGGTGTCTATTGATAACCTGTTTCATTCATGTTTGTCTTCTAGTTTTATATAGGTAACAGTAACAAGCACTTACTGTTGGCAGAATATTTATTATTCTCACACAATGCCACAGTGCAGAGAAACGTGGCCGAGAGTGGAGGCCCAGAGAAGTGGGGACATAGGAGGCAGCGTAGGTGAGTATTAGCATGGGATGGCAAGAGATGGGGCCCACGCATGATACTGGAGATCCCACAGCTGTGAACAGCTCTCTAACATTGTCAGTTTAAAAAAAATAAAAACAAACCAACAAACAAAAAAACCAACAAAACAACCCACCCCCCAAAGAACAAACCATAGGCGCAAAGCTTGACAAAACTGGTCTTAGGGGGCAACAAAATATAGTACTTAACATATGGAGACTATCATATATAGTAAGCTTGGACACAAGCTGGAGCTACAGAACAATGAAGATGATGCAAAAGCACACTATCCAACATAAACATGACTCCCAAGTTGGTCCCGGGAGAGTAAGAAGGAACCAGCAACATCAACGAAATATTCCTCCCATGAAGGACTGCAGAAGCACAGAATGCTGCACTACCCTCTCCAGCAGTCACAAGCTGTGGATTTGACAGTCGGGAGAAGGGAGGTTGAGCATAACTCCAAGAGAACGAACAGAAACAAAGAAGTGCACATGCTCCAATTTTAATTGTATTACTGTCATTTTTTTTCCTTCTATAGAAGTACTCTAACTACACTATCTTAAAATACTTAGATCTAGATTAACCGTGATTCTTAGACTGCCAAGACCTCTACCTATAGCTCGCCCTGCCTAAAACAGTGATTTTGAGTCCAACACTTCCCAAAAACTACCTACCCCTTTCTAGGAAGCAGGGGTTAGTGAGCCTCTAGATCTTAACCAGGAATCACGTTGTCAGTAAAAATGACCACTTCAGCCACAGTAGTTTGTAACAGAAGATGGAAAGAGTCTCTATCTTGGACACCCAGGTTGTCATACGGATTTGTAATTAAGATCTGCAATTCATCAACACAATTATAAAAGTGGAAGTCTAAAGTAAGGCTCCCAGACCAGTTGGTTTCCTCACTTAAATGGTTTGATTTTCAGAAACATTACATCGATAGAAGCTACTAGTCTTCAAAATCAAACCATACAGAAACCTGATAAAACTGAATACAGTGGTTCAAGAACTCAAAAGGATGTCAAAGGAAAAAACCTAACAGACAAAGGGTAGATCAACAAAAAAACCCCTGTATGTCTATTTGCCTGCAAGGAACATTTCTCAGTTTGTGAAGATCAGCCATGTGTACTGAAGATACTTGAAGTAGGGCAGTCAAGTAAACAGTGGAGTGATAGGATGGTTCAATGTTGTCCTAAATCAGGAAACCCTAATGAATTATTTTTCAGTCAGGAGGAAGATGTTAGCAAAATGGCAAGGAAATGCTCATAAAAATTTAAAAAAAGCATTTAGCATGTATTGATACACTTTTACACTCTCAGCCTACGATCATCATGGCTGCTTGTGAATGCATGAAGGGAAAGAAGACAATTCAGTTCTTTCTGCAGTGCTTTTGCTTCTCTCCAGTACTGAAGTATTTTGCAAAAAAATCTGGCAAGGTGTTACATAGATTCCTAGGTCACAGCAGCAGAAGATGGAGCTTTAACAGGGAGGTGTAAGTTCCCTCAGTTCCCCTGACAAACTGCTGAAAAGCATCACAGAATACAGAGGATGACAATCAGAAGACTCTCAGAAGAAAATGTTATGATCATGTTAAAAAGCGTTGATAAATCAGTGTTAGATTCTTGGTTCCACACTGACCATAAACATGGTGCAAGGCTGTGGCTAAACAAGGTGGCTTTACTTGAACAGAGTAATTCAGGACATCATCATGTACGCAGTGCAGCTACAGAAGCCAGAGACAGGCACTTACGAAATCAGCCACCTAGATTTTACAAAGGACATCAAGAAACACACAACTTTAAAGCTTTACTGTTCCACTAACACTCCAATGACCTTCTCAAAACAAGTTTACAGAAAGGACCTCATACATGATTCAAGTTAGTCAAAGTAATTAGCAGCTCATTAAGGTGGAGTTCTGTATAGGCCTCTAAAAAGAATACAGCACACAGCTCCTTTATCTTTTATAACTGATTAGTAAATCACACCAACATAGCTTTCAATTTTACTCAATTACATGAATGATGAAAGGAGACACCCTTGAGGAGATAGGGATTAGTAATTAATGAGTTAAACCAGTTTTAATCAGGACATATCACATATGATTACCTATTTGTTTTCACACTGACATGTAAAGATGCAATTTTAAAGTAAGTAGTTTAGAGAAAAAATGATAGGATTTAATAAAAAGAAATAAGATAGTCTTAAGTTGCCAGTACCTAAACAAGCAAGAGACAATGCTCAGCTGAAGAGGGCTGTTCAGGTTCATTTCAATGAATACTGTTTCCCAAGTTTTGGGGAGGCAGCAGTTCAGTTTTTCCTGAACAAGACAGGACTGTCTTCTGAAAAGACTGCACTGGTCTCAAGACCTCCTCCAGACCAGAGCAGATAGAACCCCCTGGCAATTCCAATTCATCACACCTTTCCTTACAGGGACCACAATTACAGTATTGCTAGTCAGCTCAATCTACCCACCTTGTACTTTTCCTGTAACTGCTAACAAGGTAAGGCTGCATCAAGATGGAGTTTCGATATAAGTGTGACTTGCTAGTTGCTCACCACCCTTGCTTTCTTCCCTCAAAGTTTCCCTTATTTATTTTGACCTAGATAGTTGCTCTGTTGAGGGTGAAAACAAATCTTAGTATTTAGAAACAAAACCCATGAAACTGTTCTTGAGTATATAGCTCAAATACAGCTTCTGAGCTCTCCAGAAGAAATGAACTTTTCACATGAGTACTTCAAAAGTAGCATGGGGCCCAAAATAGCTTTCCCGTGTCAAGAGTAACATCTCATCTTCCAACCTTTGCAAAAATTCAAAATTTAGCAAGATGATGTATTACTCTATTTCTGAAATTCAAGAATAGCCTTTATTAATAAGATACTGACCTAACTATGAACAAACTGGTATCCGAATTTCCAAATAACTGAGAATACTTGCACAGAAACACAGAAATTCAAGCAAGCAGAAACCACCGAAAAAACCATTTTATTGCAACAATGTCCCCATCATCAACTGAGATGGCAAAAATTAAGTTTTAATTTGTTTTGCATTTCTACCTTTTTATTTATGTAAATATAAATTCAAGAGTGTAAAATAAATCCACATATAAACACAGAAGAAACATTCTCTTTCAGTGACTCAAAAAAACTTACATACTGAAGAATCACGACAAGTCATCTGCTGTCCATTTTTCCAAGTACACAGGCGTGAAAGAATGCAGAAATTTATTCTCCAAAAGCATCCTGTATAGAGTCCTTAAAGTATTTAAGTAATATTTAGCAATCTCATACTCTTGAGCTTATGGATGTAGATTCCAAGAAAAGGAGAGACAAAAAACATCTCAAACTTCAGATTACTCAAGCTCTGTCTAAAATAATCCATTTAAACCAAGATTATGTTCAATTCTTATAGCTGAAGCATCACAATTACTTTATTAGTATCATTATTTTGGAAAACTATTTCTTATTAGTTTTTCCTTCTTTTAAAATAAAGTCAGAATATTTATTTCAAATAGTTTTGTTTACTTATGCTGTAAATATATTGCGGAAAGTAACTCCACATGCTGGTAAAACAGGCCTTCATGAAGTTCCACTTAAAACGTTACTATGATGTACCTTAAAAAACAGGGACTAAAGCATTAAATGCACCATAAAGAGTCAGTGTCATGGGATTATGTATTATCTTCCTTCTCAGATCCAACAAAATGCTTATATATTTTGAAGTCAATATTGGACTGTTAGACCACAGGAATATTGGCTGGTTAGAAATACTTGGACTAGGACCATTTACTGTTTTAGAAAGATGTGATTATTTTGTTTTATTGTTATGACACAAAAAAATGTTACCAATATTATAAAATGTATCGTGCAGGGTATTTCAAGAGGAATGTTTTTCACCACGTCCAACGGGCAGATGTTTCCAATGATTGTGGCTTTTAATGCATATCATGCCAAGTTCTTAATAAACAGTGTTTTCCCTCATGGTTATGTTACAACAGAGAATAAAGAAATTAAGATGGTAAAAGCAAACAAAGTTAAAAATGAGAACTGCAAGTAACTTCACAACTAGAAGAGGAAAAAATCATAGAAGGATTTAAGTCAGCACTATTGTGGGTCCCCACAGTTGCACTGCTACTCTTAGGTTTCCAAAAGATGCATATGATTTTATAAATACTTTTGTGCTAAGAGCCATGCTCAGAAACAAAATATAGGCTAGCACAAGTCTACCTTCTTGGAGATGCATGTTAAGTATAAAACTCACTTACTAAAGTGCATTTGCTGAACAAATTCTAACTTCTACTATTATAGCTATCCCAGTAAGCAATACAAACTAAACTTCGTTGAAATTCTAACTCTACTTAAAAGCAGTAAATATAGATGACTGATATTTAAATTACAATCTTGTATTACCAAACATTTTGACTCAATGCTGTGAGCTGTAGAAATAAACAAAAAGTACTATCCTAAACTTCCTACAAATGAGGAAGTGACTCTAGTTAGAAACACCTAAAGTGTAGAATGGAGTTAAATATAAGCAGAGCTGAAGTAAGCATCGCTTTGCTTCTTACTCAATATGATGTTTCTTTAAGGCTCTGAGAGAAGCTGTTACTTTTTAAGATCTTTTGGCAAAAGATATAAATGCAGAAGTAGCAGGGTCATCTGACATTTCAGAACTTGTATTTTCGTATTTCATTAAAGCCAGCTCATTCAGTGTCTGTATACATTTATTGCACTTGTGTTGTTGGAATACATCTATACCAACATAGTAATAATGATTGCAACAAAGCCATAGTAAAATAAACTTTAAAAGGGTCTGATTCTGACATTAGAGGATAAGTGTCTGCATGTTTAAAATGTTCCCCTAGTAATAATAAATACAGACAAATTGCTCATCAAGTCAGATGCACATGTTTAACAATTATTTAGCATATATAAAATTTCACTCATCCTTTTATCAATACAAATCTGTTAGGGATCAAAAGAGACTTACCATGCAAAATATTGATTAGTGCTGCATAATGGAATATATATTTCTATCAGAGTTAAAACAGCATTTTCAAAATTTAAAGAAAAATAGATTTTTAAAAAGGGATTCTACTGTTGAACATAAGTCTTCCTTTGTAGCAAAGACAAGATAGAAACAAGTTACAATTTATCGCTGTACTTCAGTCTTGATGAAAGACTAATAATAATTTGTCCACCTACTTCTTAATAAATGCTACATTTTCAAGAATAAAGGAACTATCAGTAGGCATTATTTCTACTTAAAACAAGTTATTTCTCTCTGTAATAGGTCAAGTATGCTTTTAAAGATTCAGGTAATGGTAGACTCATAATTTTCTCTCTCAACAGATTTCGAGGAGGCTCTTCTGGCTTCAAGGCCTCACTGTGATCTTTATCCTCCTCCTCTTTGTTATCATCTTCCATTCTTTCATCTTCTTCACTATCTAGAGGCTGAGGAATGAGCTGATTACCAACAAACACATAGGTGTTAATCCTGCGTCTACGACATCTCCTGCGTTTTCGTTTCGGAGGAGCCTTCTGAGCAATACCCTTGGCTTTCATCTCCTCATTTATGAAGTTTCTAAGGGTGCGTCTAATATATATTCGAGCTAGGTCCTGGAGATTCCTAACAGCACATGGAGCTAAAATGAAAGAAAGGTAAGTTATATTAAATTAAATTTCCCTCTAGAAAAAAAAAAAAAAATTAGCTGCAAGGCAGTAAGATTGATCGATGTTCAAGACCACTTGAAATTTTAGTACAATATGCAAATGAAACAAGGGTAGATGGAGCCACCTTGACAAACCCTGTGGCACAGTCCAAGAATTGAAGAAGGCTTTTGACAGATGTGTAAGAGAAGTAGAAAGTATGAACAGATCATTAAAATACATTTAAGAAAGCATACAACAAATACTGTCACCTTTTAGCACCTGGCAAGTCTTGGGACCTACTGCTGACATTGTTTTAAGATCCTGCTGCTGGGCAACAATTTCTACCCCTATGTCACATTTGTTTAGGCAAGTGCCTTTCTTCTGCTTCCCTCTTCTACTCACTGTGGTTTTCCTTACTTCCTACTGAACCGAACTGATGAGGGAGGGCCATGTCAACTTTACAGCTGACCAATAAGGTAAGTCACCCATATCTTTGCATCAGAAAAGGAGTCAAAATTACTTACGTCCTGAAGAAAAAAAAACAACAACAAACAAGTAACAAGAAGCCAAAAGCCACATATTTTCCAGTGACAGACAGGTAGGTAATAACTAAGTATTATGGGCTGGTAGATGCCTGCCCTACATGAACTGCGGCTGGCTAATTCCAAGGAAAACAAACAAAAAAGCACACCAACCAAAACTACAGCCTGTTCAACTTTCTTGCTTGCCATTTTTCTTCCTATACAAAGTAGCATAGAAATAATAGGGACTACAGCAAGGAAGAAGTTAGAGAAGAAATAATTTTGATAACTACATTTCCAATACTGCATTCAGCTTAAAAAACACTCAATGTATTTCAAACAAAATCTATTGTTTCATACGCTGACTTCAGTTAGTTGATAGTTAACTCATACTTGAGACAGAAAGGATGCTTATGACTGGCAATACTGATTTCAGATAATGCCAACAGAGATAAAAAAACCAAGCCCCATCTGTTTAATATAAAATCAATTCAAAATTCAAGAACAGTACCCTATCTAACCATCCAAAACACATGTATAAGATCAGGCTACACAAGCCATGATTGCAGATTGTATGCTAGTCATGGTAAATGCAAGCAGAAGATATATAAAGTTGAAGTAATGGACCAGCAGGCATTCGTCCCATGTACAGAACTGTGTAAGAGATACTTTATAAAATTGGAACAAAAAAAAATATTTCCTTCAAAAGATGGAACAAAATTTTGAAACACTGCATCCTGAAAAAGGTAGAAAAGCAGTAAGCTCTCAGCTTTCTTATACTGTAAGAAAATATAAGACAACCATATTATTTTTATTCTAGTTATGACTGATTATATTCTATCTGATTTTGAAGACAACATCTAAAACGTTTAAAGACAAAGTAAGCTTCTCATACTCACATTCCAGATCATAAGCTATAATTGGTAACTACCCGCAGTTCGTAACACATAATGGAAGTCAAAGCCTAAAGCTTCTGCACTTCTGTTCAGAAATCCCAGACATACACATAGCACAAAGAAAACGAGCCTTTAGGAAGCTTTGCACTTGATGCATTAAAAAAAAAAAAAAAAAACGCTTGATAGGCAGGAAGGGTAGTTAGGAAGTCCTACAATGAGACAGTCAGAAAGCTTTCTTACGCAGGTAATATAAAATCTTTCTGAATACATAACTACTCAGGAGGGCACCCAGGGAAGGCTCCAAGTAACAGAACTAGCCTTAAGTTCCACTGATATTCATGGATTTAAACCAAACTGACCAAGAAATACAACTCACTTTTGTTTTGATTAGTGATTTTCTCAAACTTGCTTGAAGTTTAGAAATTACACTTGAAGGTAACCAAACTTAAAAATATAGTAAAATTTAACTGAATCTAAGAAGTTTCACCTTTTCTCCTTCATCATGATTACATAAAGAAAATTAGACTTCAATAAAATCTGTCATTGTGACTTAAGGGTGATGTACTGGGCTCAAGATCAAAGTTTTTAGTATATACAGTATACTGTGGGTCAACACAAGTTTACTTCCCCCCACTAAGTTAAGCAGGAAGCTATGCAATCACATTAACATCCTGCTCAAATATAAGACTTTGTTGAGATGCAAAATACTTACTTTATCAATGCTAGTGGTGCCTGACCATTACCACACAGCTTATAGTCTACCCAAAGACGGAGTTCATCCTTGCTTGCAATGTGCCACACAGGTGTAACCACTCGGTGTTGCATAAGCCATCTTAAATCATTTACACATTACATGAGAATCTGGATGGGGTTTACTGCCAACCTGTCTTAGCTTCTCTCCTGAAAGTATTACTCAAACTATTCACAGTAAGGATTTTTTTTTAAATGAGAAGAACATGATGCAACTTAAAATTTTATGTTTAATGTCTACTTCCTTCCAATTGTCTAGCAGCAGGGAATTGTGTCCTAACCAACAACTAAGTTGGTAAAATGACCCTTTTAGCAACACCTCTGTAGTTTTCCGTAAGAAAAAGATTCTACTTTGAGAATGACTGGCTGACAAGATATTTTACTAAGCCCTATGTAAATATGAGTTATAACTGTAGTCTATATATAACATTATGTATGTGTCAGAAGGCATTCAAGGGCTGTCCAAAGTGTGGCACAGACTCCATATTTACTTAGCAGTGGTATCTGCAATTTCTCGCTAAAGGTTACAGAATAATAATGTTTACTGTACTACAATGTACAGGTGTGTGGATGTGAAACAAATAGACATTATTATAAAAGAGGAATTAGCTAGAATTTTTATTTCTTGAGCTTAAGTTCACTACTTTTTTATACCCCCCCCCTTTTTTTAATCTTCATGATAAAACTAGAGCAGCCTGAGCAGCAGAAAGAAACATATCTTACTGATTTCATTTTACAATACAATTTCAAGATGCTAATTTGTACGGTGTTTTGGTTTTTTTTAAATAGTGCCAACTTAGTAGCACATTTGCATGTTATTTTCTTCTTCTCACTAAAGAGTAATTTTGAAATTATTATATTAAGCTCCTTATAGGAAACATCTTTATTGTACTACAGTTCAGTTCTGAATGCTACTCGTCTGCACTATTTTCATTCTGAAAATCCAGGAATGGTGATAGAGAACACTTGAAAATCCTCCTCCATCTTCTAGGGAATTAAGACTGTATAAAATTATAGAACACCAAAAAGTTTGACAAGCCACCTCTGTATTTCACTGTTAGACACGATTTAGCTTATCTATTACACACTGTATCTAATTCAAATAACATAGCAAAAAAATAATCTTGTATTAACAAGTCCTAGAAGCTATGCTAAGACACATGGAGGACAGGGAGGTGATTCGAGATAGCCAGCATGGCTTCACCAAGGGCAAGTCTTGCCTGATCAACGCAGTGGCCTTCTATGATGGAGTGACCACATCAGTAGTCAAGGGAAGAGCTACGGAAGTCATCTGTCTGAACTTCTGTAAGGTCTTTGACATGGCCCCCCACAACATCTCTAAATTAAAGAGATATGGACTTGAAGGATGGACTATTCAGTGGATAAGCAATTTGCTGGATGGTCGCATCCAGAGAGTAGTGGTCAACAGCTCAATGTCCAGATGGACATCAGTGATGACTGGTGTCCCTCAGGGGTCTGTATTGGGACTAGAGGGACAGCAGGATCGATTGTACCCTCAGCAAGTTTACAGATGACACCAAGCTGAGTGGTGCGTTTGACACACTTGAGGGACAGGATGCCATGCAGAGGGACCTGGACAAGCTGGAGAGGTGGGCCTGTGTGAAACTCATAAGGTTCAACAAGGCCAAGTGCAAGGTCCTGCATCTAGGTCAGGGTAACCCCCAGTATCAACACAGGCTGGGGGATGAAAGCACTGAAAGCAGCCCTGCCAAGAAGGACTTGGGGGTACTGATGGATGAAAAGCTGGACATGAGCCAGCAATGTGCACTCGCAGCCCAGAAGGGCCAACCGTACCCTGGGCTGCATGAGGAGAAGCGTAGCCAGCAGGTCGAGGGAGGTGATTCTGCCCCTCTACTCCACTCTGGTGAGACCCCACCTGGAGCACTGTGTCCAGCTCTGGAGCCCTCAGCACAGAAAAGCCATGGAACTGTTGGAGTAGGTTCAGAAAAGGGCCACGAAAATGATCAGAGTGCTGGAGCACCTCTCCTATGAGGAAAGGCTGAGAGAGTTGGGCTTGTTCAGCCTGGAGAAGAGAAGGCTCAGGGGAGACCATATTGCAGCCTTTCAGTACTTAAAGACAGCTTATAGGGAAGATAGGGACAGACTTTTTAATACAGCCTGTAGCAACTGCACAAGAGGTAATAGTTTTAAACTAAAAGAAGGTAGATTCAGACTAGATGTAAGTAAGAAACTTTTTATGATGAGGGTGGTGAAACACTGGAACAGGTTGCCTAGAGAGGTAGTAGATGCCCCATCCCTGGAAACATTCAAGGCCAAGTTGGATGGGGCTCTGAGCAACCTGATCTAGTTAGTGGTGTCCCTGCTCATTGTGAGCAGGGAGGTGGGAGGGAGAGTGGGGTGTTGAACTAGATGACCTTTGAAGGTCCCTTCCAGCCCAAACTATGATTCTAAGTTAATTTCAGGAAATAACTTCTGAGGTATCAAAAAGCAAGTGTTAAAGCAACCAAAGTTAATTATCTAATCAGTTCTTTTGCAGAAATAAAGGAAAGGATCATCTATACTTTGAACAAAAAAAAAAAAGTGAAGGTAGATAATAAGGTACTATCCTTGGCAAGCTCACACACACTCAAAATTAATAGGCAGATCATTAGTTACAGGCAATGCAATCTGACAGGACATTCTGGACTCCTGAAGGGTTTATCCCTGTTTCACAGTTAAAAAAAAGGACAGGGGGATCAGATCGCTTTGGTTATATGTTAACAGAACAAAACAGGAGAGAAAAGCTGTTATCTTCTAGGCTCTTTGTTGGGTTTATTTAAGTTCCCGCATGTTACTGAAGCTCTGTGTAGGAGCCCTAGCCCTGACTACCCTGACAGAAAGTGTCAACTCTACACCTTTCTCCACTACTTTTTTCCCCTTCCCCTCATCATGCTATTTTATCATCTTGGCAACTGATGATACTTGCAGAGACTTTCTAAATACCTTTATTAACCTAATTCAAAGCATTGCATCTAGAAAGCCATACCCAATGACTACTAAAAAACAGCTAGGCAAGACTGTATCAGTTGCAGGCAGATGCGAGCACACTCTGTTATTAATATCCTATAGCACCACAGCTGCAGTTTAGACCTGTTCCTTCCATTACAGGGGGAAGAGAATACTTTTCTCTGGGAGACCATCAGAAAGTTAGCACTCCTGACAGACCTAATATTAGCTTGCTATTTTATCTATCCCTCACTAGAAAAAGAAACTGAATCTAAAAGGAAAAGAAGTCTGGAAAAAGAAGCTGGAAACACTGTGTAATTTTAATTCAGGATATTAATTGCTTAGCAACACGGAACATGCACCAGGACCAAAAAAAAAATGTAGTAGTGAGCTACTGCTTTGCTAAACTCTATGTTCTGTTCTATCCTACTATGCCTGGATAGCATAGCCTCCCCATTTCCAGACCACCACAGCAGGCACTATAACAACCCATCAAGCCAAAGGCAGAGAGCACAAATGACACTTACGCAGTCCCACAGTGTCATGTTTGCCGTTGTCATTTCTGTTTGGTTGTACTAGTGGAGCAAATGAAACAGCAAGGATATTTTTACTTTCCCACGTGTTCTGTCCCGTTCTCAAGATTTGTGTTAGCTGCATAAAAACAAAACCAGAATAAATCCGTGGTTACAGTTTTGTCATACTTAATACTATTCAGATTTGTGTTCAAAACACACTGCTATTTTGATTTGCTTCAAAATAAATTTATAAAGGCTGTTTTATGAACAGAAAGACTTCCATATTCCTTGAAATATTACTTGGTTGCTACAGTACTGAATAAGGCTCTTTGGCAATGGGAAGAGATGCAGCTGGAAAATTAAGGCCTGAAGTAAGTTTTGCTTTTCTTGATTTTTCCAAAAGATCATAGAATACCTTAGATTGTAATTAACCTCTGGAGTCCCACCTCCTGCTTAAACAAGACCAACTTCAAAGTTAAATCAGACAACTCATAAGCTTTGCTGATGAAGCTAAAAAAAATCTTGTAGGTTTCCCAACCTGACTAGGCAACCTGAAGGAGTGTTCAACCACTCTCACTATGACAAATTGTTTCCTCTACATGCAGGCAGAATGCCCCTTTGCAACATTCTTCTTTCAGTTCAGTTTCAGCAAGGAGAATTGGAATCCTATCTACTAAGTAAATTCTCCACCCCTTTAGGAAGCCAAGTCAGGAATTAAATGTTCCTTTACTGGTTTCTTTGCAGGCTAAATTAACACAAATCTTTCAGCTGTTCCTTATACCTTACATGGTCTAGCCCCCTAAGCATTTGCATATAAAGTAGAAATATTCACGGTTTCAATTTTGGTTTCAGATCATGACTATTTTTAAGTTGGATTCCATCAATTTCAACTGACAGTATCTTAGTCCAATAAATACTGAAAAAATATTTATGGAACTGAATCATGCAGGCTATGTTTAAATCACTTTGGTATGTTGAGAAAGCAGATATATAATGGGATAATTCTTTTTGGAAGATAAAGGAACTAGCATGTTTATCACAATCAGCATTTCAGTCATTATCTGTATTTAGGAGGACATCAACTTAAATCACATAATGTCTTTCTCAATTTCCCTACTAGTAAAACAGGGAGAATAATACTTACCTTTGTAAAGCCTTTTGAGATCTAAGGATGAAAAGCGATAAAAGGGCGAAGTATTATTAAAATAATACACCTGTCTGAAAAACGTTTAATCTAACATGGAAAAGCAACACTGAAAACTGATGGAAGTAAGTCATGTTTTTTCCTTCAGTTTTTTCCTCCCCTTACCATGTCCCACTAATCACAGCTATTTCAAATTCCTCTGAAATAAATTCTCTTTGTTTAGAGGGTGGTTTCTTTGTTCTGAAGTACTGACTGAAAACGTCTGTGGAGCAGAGACTTCAAAGCAGTTCTGGGACTGGTATAATACACTGAAAATACTATTTATAGAGTTCTAGTTTCACTGAAGAAATAGTTTTGCCACAGACTTTGTTGGAAGCAGGATACTGATGCTCTCCTACAAGCTTAAGGGCAAAAAGTTCAACACTTCATTAAAAAGACTAATATCTGCTTAACTGTAGCAATACACTGAATCAAGATATCATTAGTTGAACATTAACTTAGTCAAACATACATTTATAGGCATTCTTTAAATTATCTATTTCTCATACTGAAAGATAAAAAGGGGAAATTGTCAACTAAGTCACCTGATCTTCTATAGGCATTACTAAAATGCCTCCAACTTTCAGTAAAATTTTCATGTAGTTTTCATGGTCTTTCTGGACTCCAGCTCCACAGTAAATCCGGTCATATTGATGACTGTCTGAGGCTATTTCCAAACAATTACCAACCACAAAGGCAGGTTCACAGAACTCAAATCTAAGGGGAAGAAAAAAAAAGAGAAGATGGGACACATTTCAAATTAAGATTTTTAAGAAAAGCTAGTCCAGCTAAAGACAGGAAAGTATTTTTCGTATCTTCACTTATGTAATGAAAAAAGATTAGCATACACAGATTAAACGTCTGTATTATGGGAATACTACTTTGAAAAAAATCTGTTTTTTTCTGCTACATCAGGGACCAAAGAAAAATTCTTAAGCAGTTATAATTATGTATTATGCAAAACTGAAAAGGCCTCAAAGCATCAGACTTCCTAATTGCAAGCAAATAGATTTGTCTAAAGAAACCTTACAAGCCATACAGTAAAAGTGCCTTTAAAATAGTACATTTATCAACAATGTGCAATATCCAGGCTGTTGAACAAATATTGAAAGTTCATTTCCTAACAGTGCTCCTCCATTTTTTTAATTAGGTTTTTAAAAAGACTAATTTTCCTCTACCTCCCGATGTTCCACCATGAGCTCAATCCACTTTTCCCCAAATAAATGGAAAAGTCTGTCACTTTCTGGCCACACATAAAGCAAGGGGAAAAAAAAAAATATTAATTATCTCAGAAGCATCTGTTCTAATCTGCACCAGCAAGCGGACCTAAGTTTTTAACAGAAATTGCAAGGACTATAAGTACTCTTTGTCACCACAAAAAATACCGAAGGAAAAGATGTATAGGATAGAGCTTTATTGCCAAAGCTGCATATATTCTCCATTACACTGATATTTTCTGACATTTTTCAAATCTCTGCAGCACCTTAGTGCTTCAGCTGTTAACGCCATAATAAATGTAGTGTACCTTTTTGTAAAAAAAATTCCTTCAGTGAATAACTTTACATTTTCCCCAAGCACTTTAAAACTAAGAAGTTACACAGTTGCTCATAGAAAGGATTTATGCTTTCCTTAGAAAAAAATATAAAGTGAAACCTTGTTGTTGCATGAAATAGTTCATAAACTTCATCTGGCAGTATTAAAATCCAATGCATCTCAAACTTCATCCAGAAGGAATTAATTTTTCTAAAAACTTCTTCAAATAGATGCAGCCATTTTATGAACTTTACAGCTGACTGTCATCGGAAAAGAGTTTCTTTTTACTTGGCTAGCAGTAGCAAATCCCAGTACAACACCTGACAACATTCAAATCAATATTTCTTCAGTTACAGTGAAGCTTGGCAGCTTTCACTGCTTAGGGATGCTGCCTATAAGGCTTGGCCGACTTTCCTATCTACAGCACTGCCATTAACAAATCAGAATTCTATTAAACTGAATTTTTTGCTTGATGTATATTTTTTTCCCCCAAGATGGGATGTTTTATCTTGAAAATAATGCAATGCTTCCTTCTTTGACTAGTCACAGACAGACCCCAGAATCCTTTACCAACTACTGCATAGCTCTCGTGCTGTATGTGGCCAACAGTCCATAACATCGTCTCCTCATCCAAATCCAGAGGAAAAATTGAAAACTACCAACACCACTTGTAGATTAAAAAGGAAAAAGGGAGAGGGAGGGGGAGTGGGGAACAACTGCCTTGCGCACACAACTGGGCAGCTAGCCCAACCTGAATTGTGGTTGAAATAACTTCAGATTAACACAAAAAGACCTAGAAATATATTAGGCAATGTTAAATGCTGGGAAGAAAATGTAACCCAAGGCACTGATCACATTACTGAAGATGCGATCTCATTTCATAAGCACTTAAACTATCATGTATTCTTCTACGTTCAGTGAAGGTCCATCAGGCAGTTCATGCTATAGTTTTAATTTCAGGTTGCCTACAGTTTAGATCAAGCAATCACCACATCAATTTAATTTGAAAGTTTGAGCAAAGTACCTTTGTGGGCTTCAAAAGTATGATAGGAAGGGGCGGCGTGCAGGGAGAGAGATAATACGGTACTTCTCTAAAATGCAGTTTTAAATCATAAGGCAGTCCCTGGTTAGTTTTAGAAAAATCAAGACAGCCTGCCTGCCTAACCTGGCAACCTTCACAACTTCTGATCTTCTCAGAATGCTCCTTAAAAGCTGACAAGCTTACCAGATATTCCTAAACTGCTTCCTCTACTAGAAACCATCCTAAAGCTCATGAAGCCACTGGTCATACCCTCTTAAAACAAGCAGGAACACCAAACTCCCCAAGTAAGCAAAAATACAAGACTAAAAAACCCACAAAACATTCCCCAGACACAAAATACTCTATACATGAGCTGTGGATGAAAATCACCAGTGGTCTTAAATACAGTAGAAGTTGAAAATAATTTCTCATTTAGCTCCACAGCTTGCAACCAGAAGGGCACAAAGTGCAAATGAAGACACAGAAGCAACTTCCTATTACACCTATATGAAGAGATGTGTTAAGCACTAGAGAACAACCCTGTCTACAGGTACATTAAATTGGCTGGACTGTGTTCCACATCATTAGCAGAGTTTTGTGGAAACATGAGGCTTATGACCAAAACAGCTACTTATTTTTTAGTCCATTTACTTCAGAAAATACCTTCTTCCCCCACATAGCTTCACCTAGTTTCAACCCATTTTGTCATCAGCAAGAGTTTCCCAAAAGACTGATTTCCTACACCACAGGGTACATGTAATTCCTGAAGACATCTATCTGGACTTCTGCAAAGCCTTTCACATGGTCTCCCACAACATCCTTCTCTCTAAATTGGAGAGCTATGGATTTGATGGGTGGACTGTTCGGTGGATAAGGAATTGGTTGGATGGTCGCATCCAGAGAGTAGTGGTCAACGGCTCGATGTCTGGATAGAGACCGGTGACGAGTGGTGTCCCTCAGGGGTCTGTACTGGGACCGGTGCTGTTTAACGTTTTCATCAATGACCTAGACAGCGAGATTGAGCGTACCCTCAGCAAGTTTGCAGATGACACCAAGCTGAGTGGGGCAGTTGACACACCAGAAGGACAGGATGTCATCCAAAGAGACCTGGACAAGCTGGAGAGGTAGGCCTGTGTGAATATCATGAGGTTCAACAAGGCCAAGTGCAAGGTCCTGCACCTGGGTCGGGGTAACCCCCAATATCAACACAGGCTGGGGGATGAAAGCACTGAAAGCAGCCCTGCCAAGAGGGACTTGGGGGTAAATGGGCCCGGGCAGCCCAGAGGGCCAACCGTACGCTGGGCTGCATCGGGAGAAGCGTGGCCAGCAGGTCAAGGGAGGTGATTCTGCCCCTCTACTCTGCTCTGGTGAGACCTCACCTGGAGTACTGCGTCCAGCTCTGGAGCCCTCAGCACAAGAAGGACATGGAAGTGTTGGAGCGGGTCCAGAGGAAGGCCACAAAAATGATCCGAGGGCTGGAGCACCTCTCCTATGAGGACAGGCTGAGAGAGTTGGGCTTCTTCAGCCTGGCAAAGAGAAGGCTGCAGGGAGACCTTGTTGAGGCCTTTCAGTACCTAAAGGGTGCCTATAGGAAAGAGGAGGAAAATCTTTTTAGTAGGGCCAGTTGTGTCAGGACAAGGGGTAATGGTTTTAAACTAAAGGAGGGCAGATTCAGGCTACCTACAAGGAAGAAATTATTTACAATGGGGGTACTGGAATTGGTTGCCCAGAGAGGTAGTGGAGACCCCATCCCTGGAAACATTCAAGGCCAGGTTGGA